TGGCACTAGAGTGATATATATCAGGCAAGCAAAAGATGCATTTCATATAACAAAAATAAAAACAGAAGCCAAGTGACAGAATGGAAAATATAGTTAAGCAATACATTTAAGAAATAGAGGGGCTGGGTGTGTAGCTTAGTGATAGAGCACTTGCCCGACAGGCACAAGGTCCTGGGTTTGATCCCCAGCACCACCAAACAAACAGAAACCTACAGTAAGATACTGAGGTCACCTGATCTTTTAATTTGTTTTTGTTTTTTTTTTTTCTTTTTTGAGTCAGGGTCTCATTGTGTAGTTCAGGCTGGTCTTGAACTCAGTTATGTAGCCCAAGCTGGCTTCTAACTCACCGCAATCCTCCTGCCTCAGCCTCCTAAGTGCTGGGATTATAGACATGTGTCACCACACCTGGCTCCTGAGGGCACCTGAACTTTTAACAAATGCCCGGGTGATTCTGAGGCAGCCAGGTCAGCATTTGGGCACACTGATCTGTCTCGTGGCTACAGCCTCTAAGCAGTGAACTCTTCTGAGGCACTCCCACTTGGCATGAGATGCCAGTCACAGAGAAACAAGCCCTGGTTCCTGCCCAAAGGCACAGCCCACTGAGACACCGACACGTTCGGACTTGGCCACAGTAAAGAAGTGGGACAGACAAGGGAGCACCTCCATGGGTCCTGACACATGGTTGGGGTCCTCACATATCTCGGGTTGTGGTTACAATTTTCTGGTTCATTGTCCAGGAAATGTGTGGTTTGTCTTCACGCCAGTTGCAGGTGTGAAGCGTCAGTAGTTCCTGCCGAGCCAGAAGGGTCACCTATATGCTGAGCCTTGTGTCAGGCGCTGCCTAAAGTAAGATGTTACAGGGAAGCAGCCCCGTTGTTCCAGCCGAGGGCTGGGGAGAGGGACAGCAAGCTGCACCCTTGAAAGACAGCGTGTGAGTCAGGAGTGAGAATAGGTCCGTGTGGGGCAAAGCGGCCAGAAACAAGCCAGGTGGAGGAAGGCCGAAGGCAGGCCCTGATGGTTCACAGGGGTAAGGTTGAGGTTACTGGGCCTGTAACCTGGTGGTTCACAGGGGTAAGGTTGAGGTTACTGGGCCTGTAGCTGTACTCTGTCTTTGCCCATCTGGCAAATGCTCGCTGTGTGCTAGAGGCTGAGCTCGGTGCTGGGGATACTTTGGTTAACCCTTTATTGCATTGTGGGGAGGCTGATCCCAATCCGGTGGTGTAAGTGCTATAAGGGAGAAAGAATGTTGTATTTTTTTTTTTTTTTTTACTAGGGGGTCAGCTGAGGCTTGTTGGAGGCAGTGACTTTCAGTTGAGGGCTGAAGTGCTAACCAAGCATGGAGGGGAGGGAAGACCTTGCCCAAAGGCCTGGGGTGGGGACAACACAGTGAGGCCGGGCGGAGGGGGCTGTTGTGGGCTGAGGCTGGAAAAATAGGCAGGGCCCTGGGTGTAGGGCTGGGCAGAGGCGAGACGCTTGGCCTCCCTGGCACTAGGGGATTGCGGCTGTAATGGAGGAATGGGCTGCAGGTGGGTAGAGGAATCCAGGCTAGAGGATGGACTCACCTAGGACAGGTATTTTGTTACTATTATTTTTTGTCTTTTTGAGACGGGGTTTCACCATGTAGTTCAGACTGGCCTTGAATTCACTTTGTAGCCCAGGCTGGCCCCAGACTCAAGCAATTCTCCTGTCTCAGCCTCCTGAGTGCTGGGATTACTGTCATGTGCCACCATACTGGGCTTTTTTGGGAGGGAGGGGACCGGGAATCAACTCAGGACCTCATGCTTGCCTGCCAGCAGGCGCTGTGCCACTGAGCTATAGCCCCGCCTAGGTATCTTACATAGGGTTTAAAAGACAGGAGTGCGGAGGGTGTGTGGCAGTAGGGCTGAGAGGGCCTGTCACGCAAAAGGCACGGCGCACGCAAGCAGGGTCTTGCAAAGGTGTAGGTAATTTCGGAAAGGGGAATGCGGCCCGAGTTGGGGCCATACATAGGTGCACAGAAGCTGGAAGCCCCTTCCTCTGCCCGGAGCCCGCCCCTCCAGCAGGCATGGGTTTTGTTTTTACGTGCATTTTTTCACACCCGCCCCCCCCCCCCAGTTTGGCCAACATTTTGCACAGCAGTTCTAGCTCCAGCACCTAAGCCCCAACAGTGGCAAGGTCGCCAGGAAGGCCTGGGGTGTGCGGGCAAAGGGATGAGGATGGTGGCAGAATAGGCTCGCGGCACTCCCTGGGGTTTGCTGTGAGACTCAGGCTGTGCTGTACTTGGGCACCACTGCTTGCAGAGAGGTAGATGCCCCGTTTCACAGATGAAATGGGGTAGCACTTAGGGGAACTGGGTCCCACGCCCGTTGGACAGTGTGACCCGGTTTTCTGTTCCCCGCAGCGTGGCCGCCATGGACAAGATCCTGGAGGCCGTGGTGACTTCGTCCTACCCTGCGAGCGTGAAGCAGGGGCTGGTGCGGCGCGTGCTGGAGGCAGCCCGGCAGCCGCTGGAGCGCGAGCAGTGCCTGGCGCTTCTGGCCCTGGGCGCGCGCCTCTACGTGGGAGGCGCGGACGAGCTGCCGCGACGCGTGGGCTGCCAGC